ATCCCTCTGTTAATTTCATTAAAATAACTCCCTCATTTAAATCTTGAGTGAAAAAAGCTAATGAATAGTTCTTACTGACTTCAGTGAAGGCAGGATTTCATCATCTCTGCAAATCATTGTGACTGTGCTGCTTATTACTTGTTTTTCTTCTCTGATGGCTTCCTCCCTATCCATTTTTTTTTTTGGGTCTAGTGTTGCAGCACCTGAAGATAGAAGGGATTTTAAGATTCAAAGATCTTGATCTGCATGATAAAAATATTTTGTCATGTGCAATTTAACTCAGTGTTGGCAGTTCTCATTATTCTGATTACTTTTTTCCTGTCAGTTCTCAGCTTTTAGGATCACCGTATTTTATATGAAAATCTGAAAAGGCAAAACCCAAATTTCTAGTTCTCATGCTTCCAGAAAAAAGCTCAGAAGCATAGATTTTCAATATTCACTTCCAAGTAAATGAGTTGAATAAAAAAGAAACCCCAAAAACATATTTCCAAAGAAACCCCCACCAAAAACTCCAAACAAAAAATAAACAACTGACCAACCCCCTCATTTCTTAGGCAGTGACTCATAATTTTTGAACTTTTGGGATTATTACTATTACTAGAAATGAGTGTGATCTCTATTTATCTCTTCTTTTGTGGGGTTTTATGTTGGTTTGTTTGCATTTCAAATTACTATCCTGAAGTCAAAGGTAGAATAATACTGTCCTACAGGATACTGCCCTATGAAATGAGATTTCTTTGCCTTTATTGTGTGTAAAATTAATGTCTGGGCAGATGGTTTTCCACAGGTGTCTGCATTTACGTCTCTATTTCAATAAAGCCTTGCACAAGGGTGAATTTCACACCATAAGAATGTGTGTGAAATGCAATTAATATTCTGAGGTTTGCATTTTTGTAATAGAAAGTTGATCTCTTCCAGGTAGGGCTAATGAAGATATGAGAGTGTTTACAGTAAAAGGTGAGAAAATTAATTTCCAGAGTGAGGATGTATCCAGTCAAACCTCAATGGAGTTTCTTCATGTGCTGAAACTGGGCGAGTTGAAAAGGATGCAAAGATTTTGAAATTCTGTGGAAGGTCATTTCAGAGACTAATTTTCAGTCTCCAGCGGAGGAGGGAGAAGAACCCTGGTTTTTGAGATGTGGTAATACCCAAAGGTACTTTAACATCAGGGACTTTATTAATTTTCTCTGCAGTATGGTATAAAATCGCCATCCTCTTGTTCTTTCTGATCCATGTTCTATGCGAGCAGCTTTCAGTGCAAATGTTGAGGTCAGTCAAGGTCACCAGCATGTGTGTGCTGTTTTATTAACTTTAAAAAAAAAAAAAAAAAGGTGTTTCATAGGCTTGATACCTCATCAGAAGTATAGTTCTAGCCCAGTGACCAAACTTGCACAGGAGTTATCTGAACTAGTGACATTTCCTTATAGTGGCTGGTAATAAATTCAGAAAGACAAATTGTCAGGATATTAAAAATGAGTCTTCACTCTGTACATTTCTGAAAAGCAGTAGGTTATGAAAAACTTTGATTCTGCTTGTCAGTGAATATAGGATCTGTAGGTCTGAGTAGTCACGACTCCCTGGTTTGCTTTTCAGGCTTCTACCCCTTCAGATTTTCATGCAGCAAATGAAGTTTGCTGCATAATTGTCATATTCTTTCAAGAATGTGGCGTTTTTAGTGGTGGGTGAAGGATCCTTTGTACTAATTGCCCAGTACTTACTTGACTAGATGTGTGAACGTTATTTGTATAATCTGAATTCAACATATATGACATTTAAACATTATTTTCAGTGTATTTAGCTAATTTTCAGACAGCTATCAGACCATAACCCCTTTTATTATATCCAAAAATACAAAATCTACATGGTGCTTACACTTGGAATGTATTCTGCTTTGAACAATATTCTCTTTGCCCTCAACGCAAATGTGCTTGGCTTATTTTTTTACGGTATTGTTAAAGACCTTTTTTCCCAAAGTGAAGAACCTCAACAGAAATTATTTTAATGAGATAGACATTTATTTCAACAAAAGAAGTTTCTTCGTGAGAGAAAAATTAAAAGAATAATTGTGCTTTTAAAAAGATAATTAATTAAAAACTGTTGGTTTGGTGACAAATTTAACATCTTGTCTGACACGTTGAGAAGAAGAAAGTGCCTGGAATTGCACAAGTAGAATAAAATGTTCCATTTCACAGCAAGGCCAAGCCTGAGTCTTGTAATTATTTCAAAGGGAGTAAAGGTCATTTTCTATTTGCTCCATCCGTATTATGTGAGGCTTCTGTACCAGGCTTACAGAAGTTAACTCATGACCTATTTAGATTGCCTGGATTTCAAAGACAACTTATACTGTCACAAATCTGATAAAGTAGACATGTTCCCTTCTCTAAGTACTGACATAGATGATGTCCAAAGCAGGCTTTTTATTTATAGCTCCATAAGACAAGAGTTTCAACTTTTAAGATGCCAGTAGCTGGGAGATCAGAACACGATTTGCCTCTTACGCGTTAATCCTTTAGGGGAAGAGTTGCTTGTAGTAAATTTCAGCATATATTGCTCGGGCTGTGTTTCTGATGTGGACTTGTTATATAATGTGGCTTCAGTTGTTGCTTGCGTCTTGAGATCGGGAGAATTTTCCTTCTGCTGTGATTGCATTTCTATGTATATTCATTCAGTAACACCATGAGTCAGAAAGGTACTTTAAAAATGCACCTGTGCACAGAGAAAACGTGTGCAGAAAATGCATATCTGACTTTCTGTGCATGTGACCATTTAAATGCATATCAGGCTTTTTTTTTTTTAATAATCAGTAATCAAGTTTTATGCACAATTTTGAGGGCAGGCTCTGCGTATGTCAGTTCATGTTTGCAGTTGTCTCTCATACCAGAAGACCGAAGGGGACACATCCAATTCTCAATCCCTATAGAGTCCAGAATGTCCAATAAAACCAAGATATCACTGTTAATAATTGAATGAGAGGATAAGGCACTGTGTTTCCAAGCCTTGGTAAGAAAGGCAGTAGTTATGGCGATATATAGAAGTGAATAATAGTCAAGTGTATTGCACTTTACTTGGTGTATTACTTCAAGTCTTTCTCTTCTTTCTTGGTTAATCCTTCAAAGGGACGAACAGAGCGGGTCAGGATGGAAGGCAGAGGAGTCCATCTGCTGCATTTGACTACAACCAGCTTAATTGTCATGAAATATTCTGGCTGTTTCTCACAGTCTGGTAGCATTTCCAGCCAAGCTTTTATAGCAAATGTCAGTGACACAAAACAAATGATCCAGCAGTGGGTTTCAATAAGAAGATCTAATGCAGACCAGGTGGGGTACCGCTGCCTTTGGTTTTTATAAATGGGACCACATAAAACTTACAGTGAGTGTGAATTGCATGAAGGGAGGGAGCAGATAAGATATTGCTCAGATTTGGTGAATGGACTATGAGTGGTGGTTGAGGGAAACATGCAGGTGTTAAGATTTTTTTTTCTTTTTTTAGGACATTCTCTAGTATAAGGATCAGCACACCTGGATGATAACGTGGTGGAGGCAGAGCTGAGAAATGTGTGAGGTGCTACTGTTGGGTTGGGAGAAGTGAGAGTGCAGTTTGTCACCTGAGCTGGTGAAGGAGAAAGGAGTCTTCAGCATTCACCCATGTGGTGTAGGGGAGAAATTGTCCTCACTTTACAGCTGAAGAGCTTTATTGGCAAAATCGTAATTTTGTGCTGATGATGTCTTGAGTAAACAGACCCATTTGTGCAGGGCCATTTGAATTTTAGAGTGAAAGTCATTCAGAACCACTGTGTTTGCTTGACCATTTTCTTGGTTGCTATAGGTTGCCCTCTCTTCCTTGATTTTTTTTCTTCAGCTGTCCAACAAGCAGCAGATTGGCTGTAATAACTTTGAGATGAGAGTAGTCTGTACACCAGGTAAAAGTCAGGTTTTGAAAAACACCACCTGCTCTGAAGCAGAAAATGCTTCTGAAAATGTGGTTATGCGTATAGAGGTTGAAAAATACAGATTTGGCTTTTCCTAATCTTGAACTTACCTCCTTTTGCCCCTCTCTTTAACCTTTTAAATTTTTTAGTTTTTTTTTTTTTTTCTTGCTGCCTCTTTCCTGGATGTTCTTACCCTGTACTCTCATTTAAAAGCTGCCAAGAAAAATGGCCTTTCAGGTGGTTGTCTCTATTCAGGGATAGAACACAAACCTTCAGAGACTGAGATTAGCATTGTACCTATTTCCAACCAATTTTATTTTGCTTTTAAGCTTCCTCCTTTGCTAAGGGGTTCCCGTGGTGACAAGGACCTTTGGTGACCACATACTAACAGTGACACAAACTGTAATCAACTTTAGCCTTCAGATCCACCTCCACTATGAGCCAGATATTTCATTTTCAGTCTTTCCTTGGTGTAGACAAGCTTTTGATTACAGGGAAAATGGACAAACTGTCACTGGGGGTGGGGGGAAGGCAACAGGGCAACTGTTTATATTTGTTAGCAAAGAAGTTCTTTTTTTATAAAAGGAAACTTCTGTCATGTGAAACTGTACTCTTGAATAAAGAATTCCTTCTGTAACTTGGTGATTAACTTTCTGAAACTAGGTTTAGAGACCCTAATTTATCAATTATTTAAATCAACTTCATTTAATTATATATTTAAGCCTAGCTGTATTCACCTGTGATTTTAGTAGCAATATTACATTATATGTTTTCAGTAAGACCGGTAATATCCTTTATTGATAATCTGGACTGAACTTAACCTTGAAAGCTACTATTTTCTAATTTCCATACCAGCCCACATATATAAAAGCAAAAACCTTATATAAAAAATTGTTTAGCAATATTTGAAGGGGAAGTGTGATGTGATGGATATTTTGTTTTATGAGCATGGAGCCCAATGTTTTGTTTTATGAGCACTGAGCCTAAACCCAGTATCATTCCCAGAAGCCAATGTGATGGATGAATGAGTGGATGTTAAAAGTCTATTTCCTTTTTTTTTTTTTTTCCTCAGGTTCTGCTGCTTGTGTGTGCAGAAGATTTAGAATGCGTCCCTGGATTCCAGCAAAAGATTTTTTATATTGAACAGCCATTTGAATTCACAGAGGACCAGGCAGTTCTGAACCGTATGTTATTTTCATATATTACTATTGTGCAAAAATCAGACTTGCTTATATATTCATATCACTCCTGCCATTTATCAAAAAGCTTTTTTTGTACACAGGATTTTGAGTATTGCCATGATTCTGTCTAGGTTCCCCTGCATTAATCCTATATCTCTACAGACTTTACTCTGTTCCATGTATTAGAGATGGGAAAATATAATATGTAATCATTTAGGACAATATGAATATTGTAAAAACTTAGGATCATCCACTTCTTAAAAAAATTAAATTTACTCTTAATTTTTGTATAGCCTTTCCTATAAGCTTGGAAATCAGGGCTTGCTTATCAACGCTTCACTACGTCCAAGTCTTTACATGAAGGCTAGCTGAAGCTTGTGATCATCAGTGATAGAAAATTGTTAGTACATGTGCCGCGCAACTGGGATATTCAATAATATTTCCAACGACCAGGTGAACATTATAAAATCCAATCTAGCACCGTATACTCAAAGCTTTAAACTAAAGGAGAACAAACTATCTTTCAGTCCTGACATTGGTTCATTCAAATACTTCAGTGAGCAAGTGTTACAACTTGTTAATTCAGTTCTGTGGCTTTGGGACTTCAAAACTGTCAAACTGAGGCAGTACCTTATCCAATGGTCAATGATTTTGAAGACGTAAGGATACCAAGTGTTGCCATTTTCATAACTTCCAAACACACCAGCATTTTTACGTGCGATACATATTATTAGTTTCTTTGTCATGCTTGGTTGCTTGCTGTTGAACTGGGAATTCTTTGAGGTACGCAGCATGACACAGTAGTGCTTTGTGTCTACATGCAGTATCTAGATCTCACAATGTGACATATAGCAATAGTTTGGTGAAACCAAGAAATACAAAGCAAGATTCCTCATTAAATGCACACATATCCCATCTCGGTTCCCTCCAGATATTGTTACTACATATTGAAGTATTTTCATTGTTAGGCATGTTTGGATAAAGGTGTAATATCCGTACACACTCGTTTTAAAATAGCACTAACTCTTCAAAATGAAAGGTCAGAATTAGTTGCTGGAGTCTATTGAGATTACTCTTAAGCTTAAGTCATTCAGCTTTTAACAGGTGCTAAAATAAACTTTTAAGATAACATTTTTAGTCTAAGCGTTTTGATAAGTTACTTAGGTCTGAGTTGCATTTTCAGGGGAAATTTAGATCATAAGTAGTAACACTATTCAGAGGCGTGAGGTTATTCAGTTTAGAAGAGAGATTTCAAACTTCTAATTTCCTTAGGCAATTTTGTTTTCTTTTAAGTTCTTATTCTAAAGACTTGATGAACACTTCATTTCCTACATGGTTAAATGTAGAAACTCATAGAATATAGGAAGTGTAGTAGATTTAATAAGCATGAAAAGTTGGAAATCTAAGTGAAGAAAAGCACTAGTAACAAGTTAGTTGTTAAGCTGAATAAAAAGAACCGTTGTTGTATTCTTTGGCTGCTTCTGAACTTTGAGGCTGTAGCACGTCTGGCCAGATCTCCCGCTGATTTGTGCTTGTCCTCCCAAATACCTAAAGGCCGAGTTGGTTAAGCCAAAGTTGACTGGGCTGCTCTGTGGTGACCCAGCAAATTGCACTGGTGTGAAACTAGCACAATAATTAAGACGCCGTTGTTAATGCAAAGAGGAGATTTAGAAATGCCTGGAAACAATCTTCAGAATTAAATTATTTTAATAAGCAGACACTAAATTGGCCTAATATGTAATGTTCGACAAAGGCAGACTGTCAATGGATGATTCTAGTTAATTCAATCACTCGTACGCAGTATGTCCTTCATGCAGCAGCATTAAACCTCTGCACAGTTTCTTCATTTCAGCTGTCAACAGAATTGATATTTTTAATTGTCTGTTTGAATACACTTTGCGTGCTCTTGCATCTTTTTATACCCATTACCCAAGAGCAGTGTAATTTAGCAGTTGCATTGCAATGTGAGGCTTACCAGGGCTATGTAAATTAATAGAGCGAATATGCAAAGTAGGCCTATAGCAGTGATTGCTTTTGTAGTCCTCGATAAGCCAAGGAGCTCCTTAATTCTTTTCTGAAGTGCAATAAAACAGTCTTTTTCTTTTTTATTTTTCAATTTAAACAAGGACCTACTGTACATTTTATTGCTAGTATATCCCTTGTAATTAAATATAGGTTATGACTGGTTCTTATGTATTTATTACTTCTGCATACGGCAATGTTAATTATATTTTACATTTACGGATGGGAAGAAGGAAGAGAAGCCCAAACTGAGGGTGCAGAATTTTCTTATTGCTTATTCTGATTTGCACCAATTCTTATCAAAGCCTACTTATAAGTTGGCCATAACCATTACATTAGTCCAGTTGTGTATGCAGACCCTCCTTCCTGTTAGTTTCACTGGAGTTCTGTTGCTGTTTCTTAGTTTTTATCCCATTGTGTTCAGGCTGAACTGCCTTTTTTTTCCCTGATTTACTATTGCATTTCACTTAACAGCAACCTACAGACTTGGACCATTTTATTTTCCTAATTTTGTCACTTATTTTTTCCCATTTTTGACTTTTTATTTTCCTCATCGGATCCCTTTATCTCCTTATAACTTGTGTTTTCTATGCCCACAAACAAAATCAGGCATTGCTCTCCTGCTTTTGGTCTGCCCAGCTCTTTTCCCTGAGTGCAGTTTTCTTAAAACAGCTGTTCCCTTGATGTAGTGGGAGAGGACTCATAGTCACTTTCTCGAAAAATTAGAGGGTCTGCCCATGTAATTATTATTTTAACAAGGAATTGTGTTACTAGATTTTTCTGTGTAGCTTTTTGTAGTTTAGACCTAGGACCATCTTCTGCAATCAAATGGAGAAGATTGCTACCTGCTTGATAAGGTGATAATTGACAGCATTTAATTACAGGTTTTACACCTTTTCTGAAACATTTGTGGCCATGAAATGCTTCCCCACCAGCAAGGCTGTCTTTGGCGAGGCTGTGACAGGTCACTGGTAGTGACAATGCTTCGCCATGCCAGGCTGATAGAAAGTTCCTAATCAGACTCATCAAACGTGGAAATGTAATTGTGTTACATTAATCATGTTTATACTTAACATACATGAGTCTTGACTTTTGGGGGTATTTTTAATTGACAATGAATCAAATAGTGCACTTGAAAAATTGAGGCAATTAACATAAAGGCATTAGGTGATGTGTTGTGCATACTAAACTGGGGAATACAGTGCCAGTGATCTAAATGTCAAAACAAAGGAAGTTTTGACCCTTACTTGAAAAGCTTTAATTTGGATGTTAATTAATGGCTGACCTCTTCTGTCTCTTACGTGATAGATTGCATGTTTCAGAGTTTGGGCTGCTTCAAGATCAGGGCTTTCTCTGTCTGCATTTGGATACTTTTTTAGTCTGTGGATTTTAACAAAGACTTTTCTATTCAACCATATTGAAAACCTTTGTTTACTTATATGATGGGAAATGTATTGGTCTGTTTATCGTTAATGCTTAAAGGCGGTTCTTCTGTTGTCTAGCAAAGCTGTAGCCTCCAACAAGATATCCTTTGTTCAAACTGAATAATGCTTGCGGAAAGATCAGAGAAGGCCATTTCAATATTACAATTGAAATATTACAATATCATGTGGGTACATGGATCACAGCGCCAATCCTGCTCATATCAAAACATTTCCTATTGTTTCTTAGATCGTGCCATGTGAGGCTTGATTTATCACATCCACTCTTCCCGCTTCCCGTGCTATTTGACTGTCCAGATGGCCTCTTTCTGTGACTGTTTCATGCTATCAATATTACTGCTGTTACTCTGGTTTACTCTGATCCATACAGCATGTGTTATCACACACACTTGATTTATCTCCTCCGGCTTCATTTTTTCTGCAGATTGTATAAAGCTAATGTGACAGTCTAATTCAATATACTGTATTACGCCAGACCCTCTATGGAGTTTTAACACGAGGTTTATATGCCAGTGTTAACTCTTTGTGCTGAATATTGCAGGTTTGGGGTAATTAGAACTACAGGTGGTAGTTGTAGCTTGCAAAAGAATGTGTTCAAGCGAGGTAAGATTTTTGGCCTAGTAATTTCTTGCAGGGAAAACTGTCTAGATTTTTGCATAATAGCTAGAATAACTATGGATTTTTCACCTATTCAGGTGTACATATCTGTAGTGAATCCTTGTTGAAACATAGTTGTGGCTATTCAAAATAAAGAAGTCTCTACCACACTTTGAATTCTACGGACATGTTAAAACTATTTTCATTTCACATAAATCACTTGCTACGTTAAGAAACGTACTCTAGGAAATGTTGAAAAATGACTTGGTTTCTGTGTTGGGTGTGTGGTAGCAGGTTCTTCAGAAATGTGTCTGTCAACTTTTCTACCCATATAGCTGAATGCTTTTTAGGCTCAAGCTGTATCTTGTTGTGCACGTACCCGCATACAGAATTTCAACACCAGAGCTTCAGTTTTGACACTTGGATACATGATTAAGATCAAGTGTCTGTGATACTGTTATGCCATGTGGACAGAAATATTAAGATTTGAAGCCAGACAGTAGGGATATCTTAATCACACTGTTCCATGTAAATGGCTGTGGAAGCCAAACTCATGTTACCAAAATTCCAGGAAATATTTGGGGTTATGCAAAATGGTTGCAAAATTATGGAAGTAATTTTTAAAGTGGGAGATTGGGAACCTTACAGCATGCTCTAGGAGGCAAAGCGAGGAGGATCTTCAAAGGGAAGATCCTTTTGCACTTAAATACCTAAGGCATTGCTCTCTAATTGAAGTTTGATGCTTAACTCTTACACGGAGGGAGGAAACTGTCTGCGTATGTATTGTAAATACGTATTGTGACTAAATAATATAGAACATCTCAAATGTGACTCTCAATAGATGTATGCAGATTGATGTTGCAACATAACAGAATATCATATAATCTGTTAAACTGCTTTCACGCATGATTAAAGCAAAACAAAACAGGAAAAAATGGTGTT